AAAATAGCACTGCAGCTAAGCGCATTTTTTCTCCACAGCAATATTCCACGCGGTATCGTATCAGAAATTTCTACAGCTACTTCCAAAGAGAAAACAGCTCTGCAATACCTTCTGGTATCATAGGATCTTAAGCAGCAGCTTTCCTTTTACAAAGGAAGAGCTACGTTAAGTAGAAGCTGAACCAGTGTCTCTTCAGGGAAGTGGCAGGAAGAAGGGGTTGGGAAAAGTTGTGGTTTCCTGGGGCTGGAGTCTGATGCTGACAGTCTGGATGCTGACAGTCTGGATGCTGGAGTTTAAAATCTGTTTCTGCCCCTGAGGTACCGGTGGACATTGGGCAGATCACTGGACCCACTGTGTAAAATAAGGAGTTTTTAACTTTTCCTACTTTTCAAGAAGGTGCATGAATTTAATCAAAGTACTTTGAGAACATCAAGTGAAAGGTGCTAGAAAAAATATCATTAACAGTAGGAAGCCTTGACAAATGAAGTACAGCCTTCACCATATACATTACTCCGAAAGAAGGTAATAACTGAGCTAAAAAATTGACAAGGATATATCTATCCCTTGTGAAGCACAGCTTTCTAGCAGCTTCATCCTTCTCCGCATTACCAAGGCTTCCGTAACCTCATTTCAAAAACATAATAAAAGCACCCCAAATCCTCACATTTTATAAAACCCAACGATGCAGGAAGCTTATTAGAAAAAAAAAAAAAAAAGTCATGCTGCAAAGATGGCATGGAAAAGCAATCAGTAATTGAATTCAATTTACAGCTCCCAGATCATGCAGCCTCCCTGACTCATCCAAGCCACTCTGCTTTATCAGAACTGCCAGCATCACTCTGAGACAGCGTGTAATAAAATATGGAAAATGTGTTCAAAATGTGCGACCTCACAGATGCAATGAGCTGACATGAAAAACACTTTCTTCTCACTGTGAAAAGCCATGATGCGGGTGCATTAGCTTGGAAGTGGATGTGTATCGCTGCTGCTACTGTCACTGCTTCTGCCGTGCCTGTTTTGTGTGCAGAGGACTTCAGGGCTTGGAGGATATACACTCAGCCTCCTTCACCAGCACAAAATGCAAAGCTTCACTTCTGGCTATAGTCCTGAGAAATATGGGACGGGATCACTCCTGGGCATCTGAAGGATGAAGTGCTGTGAGATAACACCCTTCTGCCCTCAGAGTGGGGCAAAAAACTGGTTGCCCGTGAGTCAGCCCTTTGCAGATGCAGGAACTTCAGGAGCACGGCTACTCCAATAAAAGTAGATAATACGACTTTCATGCAACCCAATTTTGTAGAGACAGGTCTAGTTGTACCTGTCACTGATCAAGCCTGAACCCTTGCTGTTCTCATTGCAGCTCTAGTATCTCTGTGTTTGCCAAATAATAAATAAAGCTTTTCTGTTCTTTCTCCTATTTTAGTATAGAGCTCGAGCGCTAATATAAAACCCATTAAGCTGGCTACTGTTATTCATTCGAACACTACTACTACGTCTGCGATTTTAGTTCAAAGCACTGCAGTCTCTCTGCATTTCACGGCTGTATCATGGCGTGGTAAGAGAATGCTGCAGCATTTCTCCTAATGGCTCCAAAGCAGTAATGACACCTGCAGCGCTAAGTAATGCTGCATCTGGTAGCTTCATCGGGAGAGAAACACAGAGTAATTCAGGTTGGAAAGAACATTACTCTTAAGACCTCTAGTCCAAACTGTGCTTAAAAGCAGAGCTAACTTCAAAGTTAGGCCGGGGGGTGGGGGGGGTGGGGGGGCTATCAAGAATAATCACTTTCATCTGCCATCACTGGGCAAGACAGAAATTAAATACTTGTTTGTGTGGATTAAATGCAGCATTTCTAAGAAGTGATAGGGAATAAAATTACCAGCCAATATAGATTCCACAGCAAGGAACTGATAATGAAAGGTTGGTCTCAGCACCTCATATTTACTACTTCATTGACACTTTCTGCTTTTCCAAAGATTGGATGTGGAAGGCATGCAGCTGATGTTTTTAAAGTCAAATCAAAGGGTAAGTAATTTTCAGAGAGGGACTGATTTTTAAATATCATTTGTTTTTCTTTTAGTGCAAACTCTAGCTGAAGCCAACCAAAGTCACCACGCTCCAGACCAGTTTGCAGATCTTCTAGCCAGTGGTTTTTGAACTGCTATGTTTCATTCATTGGCCAGAACAGAATAAGGCATAGTGGTTAACATGCCAGTGAGTCAATGGAAACACAGCTAAAATTGCAACTCTCAGCACTGGCAACATCAGTGGAATTATCTGGGTTGGAGCAATGGTGTGAAATGTTAGCGAAACAAGTCGCATGTAGCCCCGGCTTTGCTCCATGAACCAAGCAGCTGTGAACTGCAGAGCTGAACGAGCATTACTCAAAAACAAAATTCATGTATGCACACTATTCTCTTTTTTTAACCCCTACAGGAATTTTCAAATCACAGTTCCTCCCACTCACAAATACCACCCTTCTCCAAGGTGGCTAAAAACCATCATGTTCCTCCTGTAAGAAATTCTGCTCTCTTCTGGTTTTATTCAGTATGAGAACAAAGCATGAAATTTAATATTAAAAGTTCCCAGAGAGCATTGGATCCAGAAACACAGAACTGTAGATTTTCAGCCAGTCCCTGGTCAGAACATGTCTGCACTGCCATAGCTGCTACAGGGAGTTGTAGTTTCACAACTCTCGTGTTTGCTGTCTTCCCTGCACAGCTTTTCTCCCCTGCCAAACCACTTCTTGATCACAGTGCAGCATGGAAGTGCCATCCTATCCACTAACCGGGATCAGCCAGGGTAGACTGTATGTAGGAAGTGGCAAGACACCTCGAAGCTTCGCACGTGTGTCCAAGGCAGGCAACGGGAGACTGTGCCCTACCCTCCACAGAGCCCTTCTCCCCCTTCTCTTCCCTGACTCTCTTGACCCTGATTTTGTGTGGGTTATGTGAGGACTTCCTTCCAGGGAATGGTGGTTATAAAGGGTTATGTGAGGTGAGGATAATATATATATGATAATGTGGTGTTTTCCTGCTAAAACGTCTTCCAGAATGCCTCTCAGGCATATACAGCAGTGTGCAGTGCTCCCAGATGTTGACTACGTGTCTAAGGAAGTAAGAGGGAAAAACCATACACTATCGAGTTAGCTGAAAAACTCGTGTGAGATCATGAAGTTCAGGTCTGCACTCTGGTGCCCATCAGGATAACTATGGGGTTTTTAATCTTAAATTTCCTCTCATTAGACTTTGGCCACCTGTGTTCCCCAGTGTTACCCAAGATCTAGAGGAAGGCAGCTCCAAGGAAAGGGTTGCTCTGTGCTGTCTCCCCAGCCCTCTTCCCCAGGCATCTGGGGCTGCTACAGCTGGAGCTGAGGCACTGAGCTGGATCAGCAGCACTCAGATGCCAGGTTCATGTGGATCCGCACTGGCTGTGAGCATGGACAACTAAGATATTGCTGCACTGTGCTCCTGCCAAAGAGCTCAAGCCCCACTTACAGTTTTGTCAAACAAGGCTCTGCTACAAAAAAGCGCCATTAACTAATGGCACAAAAGGGCCTGGTTGATGAGGCTGAAGGAAGCTTTTGACGTCTGGGGCTGGTTTGTAAAGGCACCCGCTTCCTGGGATGCTTATGGTCCTGCAAAGCAATGACCAGGCATGATGGGCTTGGAGATCCCTGGAGAAGAGCAAGTCCACTGTTAACCCATCACAGATCTTTCTGATAGTATCAGCAACAGAAGAAAAGCTCATACACATTTTTTTTTTTTTTTTTTGCCTGGCCCAAATGGGGAAGAGGAGTAGTGAAAAGAGTGAAGGAGAAACCTGCAGCAAGAAACACTCTCTGTATCCTTTTTGGGGGTTTCCCTGGAACAGACAGGATCTGAATCTAGAGCCATTCCACAGGTCACACATTTCACTAGTAACACAGCATAGGCAACATATGCATATATGGACTATGTTAGATTAATCTGACTTTGGATTGTCTTACTTATTAAAACATGCTCAGGCCCCACAGTTTTCTATGGGCCAAGTACACAGTTCAGTAAAGCACACCGTTCCATACTCTCCTGTATAGGCTAGTTTCCTTATAAAGAAATTATCTGAGGATGTGGCATATAAACACATTTCCAAGTGGCAAGCCAGGCTTTGAATCTGCAGCACAGCAGTTCCTCAGCAGTAGCCCCATGTTTCTAGCCCATGATAAATGCAAGGTAGCTTAAAGGCCCTTGCTCAAACATTTCCATAGGCTATGGTGACCCGTGAAGCTTATGCCATCTTTTACCCTGACATTAAAACATCTGCTGAGTCCGCAGTTGTACAGTGCTCACTCACAACTGTAGCAAAATCAGTTCTGCACAGAAGAAGCCAATGCCCTACTTCTCAGGGTGGGCTGTTTCCATGCCAAGCCAGAGTCTCAGTCATTCAGGCTCCACCTCCCCTCCAACCAAACCAAACCAAAATGTATAAAGGATTTTTTACAACGGGAGCAGTGAATTCCCCCACCTTGCCCAATTCCCTTCCTTCCAGGGAGTGGCACAATCATGCCACAGATATTTAGGGAAAAGAGGGTGGGGACACACACACGATCACGTTTTGTTGCCTGTTACTAATGATTGAGAATGGCAACTTCAAATAGAGCTTTAATTTCAAATGAAGTCGTTTTCAAACTTAACTGCTGTCTTGAGGATAAAAGAGGGATGCCTGTGGCAGTTGTACTACAATGTGTATACTGCTCTATACAGTAGCTCTGCAGCAAGGGATCACAGATGGTTTGTGGTGGTGGGATGACCCTGTTCTTCAGCCTGCAGACTTACACTACTTGCAGAATTCCACCTTAAAAGTAATTGGACGTGTCTGTAACTCAGAGAAGGTTTGCTAAGCAATGACACATTGCACTTGGATCTGGAAGCATAACATCTGGAAGCCAAATGTTAGAGGCGATATAAAAGGGCCAGCCCAACAAACCAGTGGGGCATTTCTAAGCCAGGAACATCCTCAGGATGGACCTCATCCTTCTCTGTGTGTTCCTGCCTCTGGTGACCGTGGTGTGGGGCCAGTACGGTGACTATTACTACGGTCCCTATAACTACGGAGATAATGATGAATGGGTCAATGTGTACCGGCAGGGTTTCAACTTCCAGTGCCCACATGGGCAGGTGATCGTGGCCGTCAGGAGCGTTTTCAACAAGAAGGAAGGCTCTGACAGACTGTGGAACTACGCCTGCATGCCGGCGGCCCAGAGCCTCGGTGAGCCGACAGAGTGCTGGTGGGAAGAGATCAACAGGGCGGGAACCGAATGGTAGGACACCCCCAACCATCCCCGGAGGGCACAGCCCTGATATTCCCTGTGAAATGTGGGTGCTAATACTGCAGTCAGAGCAATGCAAACACATCTTAATGCCGTCATAACCAGTGGCTTCACTGCCCTGGATGACCGCCTGAAACTCCTTAATCACGATGCATGTGTGTGAGGTGATCAGCATCATATTTGCCTTCTCTGTAGCAATTTCTTGCTGGGGGGGTCTCAGCGTGCTTTAGAAAAGCCGTGTCGTTTGGTCACTCACAACCTCAGCTGCAAAGTGGTTCGGTCTTGCTATTGTTGTCTCACAGATGAGGAAAATGAGGCATGAACCTTCAGTAAGGAGAGGATAAAGTCCCTCTTGAAAGGCCACACATTGAATCAGTGACTAAACTGGGGAACAAACTGTAAAACTCCTCACTCCATCCTCCTGCTCTTATCACTAGAAAAAAAAAATCTTCGTATTGCACTGGCTTTTCTCTTTGTGTTTTTGTTGCTAAGCTTTTTGGCTGAGGCCCAGTCAAAGGCTGTTTTCTTGTCATACTGGTATTACAGGAGCCAAAAAGCCCCACTAATGGCATATATATGCATGATAATGATAGCAAAAGATCATGTTAATTCCCTAATACAGTCAGTTTTTGTTAACTAAACATTACATTTTCCACCAACCTTAGAGGTAAAGGTGATCACATTTTATGGTCACAATAATTTCTGGAAATGTGTAAGTGTTTCATGTTTAGGCAGCACATGCCCAGTATTTAATTACCTTCTGATTTTTTCATGAAATGTGAAACACGGTTTTGGAAAACTGTGAGTTTGAAATATTCTTTGGACAGAATGAAATGAATGCAAGAATATTTTCAAATACTTGAAATGGTTTTGTTCCAGAAATTGCAATGTGATTTTTGTAGATTTCATGTTATATGGGGACAGGTTAGCAATGAAATGTGAAGCTTCTGCTTTTTAAATGATTCAAAATTTTCTTCTGAATTATTCATACTCCTTCGTTTACCACGTGATACATTCCTATGGCTGATGCAATTGCTAAGGAAAAAAAGATTGACCCTATACTTAATTTTGGAATAAGAACTGAAAAGAAAGGGGAAGGGTTGCAAAACAGGCAGAAAGAAGACACTGTGATAATCCTGGATGACTTCTTCATTTTTCCTACGTTGATGCAATTTCTACTTATTGCACAGTAATTTTGAATTAGACCTTTCTATTGTTCAAAATAAAATTATTATTCTCTTTCTAAAAATCCCTGGCAGCAATTGCTCAAGTTCACTTCTCGCAAACAGGGTACTGTGTAAGTCTGTACAGAACGTTTTCTTCTGCTATCTAACCATGGGGCCATATTCATCACCATGCTCTGTATGCTTAGCATGACTACATCCGCAGTGTATTATCTGAATCTCATTTCCTTCACCTCTTAAAAAAATCTTTTCACTTTCTCCTCTTTCTTCCCTCCATTTTTTCCTACTGCCAGCCCTATCCTTTCTCCAAATCTATTTCTTTTCCAGCCCCTCTTTAATGTGTTTAACTCTGTTTTACTCTCGTTCCTAGCTTTTGGAGTTTAGTTATTTCTTCTCTAGCTCACCCTTCCAGACCAACATCCTTATATCTATCTGTCTTTTCTGCATAGATCTTCTTTCTGTTTTCTGTCTATTTTGGGGGGAGGGGGGAATACACCAAAGTTATTAGGGAGCACACACCCCTTTGCTAAGGTGAACTTGTGCTCCTAATTACTTGGGCTATTCCCATAAATCTTAGCTAGCTGTGCCTTGTTGTGTTCTGCAGTTTTCTGCACCCAGGGCTGAGCTGGTTGCATCTACAGTGCTTCATGGAGAGAGGCTTGCTGTAAGCCAGCAACATCCCTTGCTGTGCCCAGACACTGCTGCCCAAGAACCCAGCAGGCTCATCCCAGGCTGGGGTGAAAGTGTGGGCCAACAGGCAGACAGCCTGGAGCGTCTGAGTGCAAACTCAAACCTCAAATGAATGTGACAGCATGGATGTAGCCTGTGGGGCCTTTGACAATCCCACACCTCCTCTCTTGGCAGTCTCACTTCTCATAGCTGCCTCTCCTCTCTCTTCCACGCCCAGCTCAGTGCAGTTTGGAGCCATCCCCAATTCTCAGGAGATCCACTCAGTCATCCAGTGGGACCACAAATATGAGTCACAATCTGTACCATTAGTTCCTGTTTGGCCACCTCTATTTCCCCACTGATCTCCTGACGAACCAAGCTGTTGGTGAGCAATGCATCGTCCTCACGTCAGGTGACACAGCACTCTGCTGGACTCGCTAGTCCATTCCCCATCCGTGTAGGATGGACTGTAATATTCCTTCCTCAGCTCTGCCTCACAGGGTACTTTGTCTCACCTTGCACATCACATCCAGTGAGGTTCAATGGCTTACACCACCCAAAACTACAAAGCTGCCAAGATTTTCCTAAAATTTAAGCTACATTTCCTTCTACTGTAATTGAGGCTTTTTATTCCTTGCCCTACCTCCACTGAGGAATGAGAACAAGCACACTGCACACTGCATCCTTTGTAAAATCTCTTTAACTTATTAATAGGTAGCAGTCTTGCCTTTCCCTCACCCATGCACCTTCACCCATGCTTTTGCTTTCAGGCCGAACATGTCTTCATTCTTCTAGTTCTCCCATGGAAGTTTTATATTCCAACACTCCTAAGCAAGTGCTGATCATACGTACAGCTGTCCTCTGAGTTTCCTCCAGTTTCTCAGCCATGTCCCAGAAACTCTCATCTGGCAGAAGCACCAAAAATTGACCTCTGACAAATTATATTTATGGCTTTTCACAAATCATCATTCCTGACTGTTGTGCAGCTGCACAACAGAGACAAACCCAAGAGAGGTTTCTTCCTTTAGAAAAGACAACAAATCAAGAAAAGCTTTAAAGAGAAAATGAATTGGGAATATAAAGCAGAGAAAAGAAAGAGCCTTCAACTCATTATTTTCTTTGGCCATTAGAACTGGGGGGGAAATGGCAGAAGTGGACATGGGGAGAGTAGGGATAGGAGAGCTGGGGGGACTGGACGGCAGGAGGGAACCACTGGCAGAGCTGTTTTAGGTAATTTGCCTCCTACACTAACACCAGGTATTATCCGGACTTCTAGGATTAAACCTGTAAGACTTTGCATCTTACGGATATGAAAAAATTATTCAGCAGAAAGAGGGCAGTGACACAGACCCACATTAGGCATCAAATCACAATGCCTGGTCTATGACCTCTGCCCCCTTCCAGAGTCAATGGAGAGAAACAGGTACTCGAAAATCTGCTCTCTGGGGCACCCATCTCTCTCCAGAAACAGACTCATGAAGACCAATCACCTCTGACAGTTGCCTAGAATTACCTACTGGCATTTCAGAACACATCTAACTATAGGTGCTTTTGCTTAATAAATGCATCCCTGGAGTTAAGCATATGTGTACATACACTTCTGAAGAGAGCATGTTCTTTTGAGTTTCACTGAATGGACACGAGAAGCCTGTGAGTGTGTTACAAGACTCATAGTGAAAACTTTGGCAATAGATTGGATCAGATGACCAGGGATGTCTCCTCAGCTTCATTAATCTGTGAATACGTTTAAAGTTAACTACGTGTACAAAGGCTTTGTTGAATCTGCCCCAACACCTTACTCCTTCAGAGGCGATCTGCTAACGAAGATGCTATTCGATATAGGGAGCAGAATTTGTTCCTGGATAATTTGGAAATACTCATGTCTGAAGGAGGGAAAGGTCTTCAGGACATGCCGTGATCCTACACAACCCTTCAATTTATTTGTATGCTGCGACATCTCAAGGAATACAGCCTTTTCAGACAGAATAAAGTTTTGGGGTTTAGTTCCATTTGTACTGGAGGAAGTTTGACCTTGGGTAAATATTTCACCATCTAAGAAAAGATAAGGTCTGAGCGATTGCTGTTGAGGTTGTTCTTCACTGCTTCACTGAATACTAGAGTTGTGTCTACAGACCAGTCTTTGAACGAGGTACTTCAGAAAAAACTATTTTTCTTGCCTGAAAGTGACTGTACCAAAGGACAGGGATCAAACAAACAAACGAACAAAAGCTTGCAAGTGAAAGACAAGCAACTCTTCCTTCTAGGAGAAAATGTTTGTTTTACGCTACATAATACAGATGGAACCGTGCCATATCCCCAGTACACTCCCAGTTACCCATAAGGCACAAAGCAGAAACATTTCCAGCCAAGTGGTATTTAATGCATGTTTATCACCTCTTTTCCTTGTTTAGACTTCTGAGAAAGTGTTTGGATGGGACTTGGAAAAAACAGACATCTAGATTCTCCCTCCCCACCCCCATTCCCACTCTCCTTTGCCTTCTCTTTAAGTGCAGACACACATGCAGAGCATTCAAGTAGGCACACAACCCTGTTTCCCACAAACTGGGCACAAAGACAGACTCATGAGCAAAGGAAGCGTCTGCAGGAGCCTCCTGTTCAGGCGCTGGCAGCACACCCCGGTACATCTGCGAGGAGCTGTTTTTGTTCTCAGTCTCTGACCAATCCCAAGTCTCGGATCTGAGGCTGTACTACCCAAATCCGATAATAAAGCTGCCCTTTCAAACGTTCCCATTTGCGCTATCTACGCAAACAAGTTAATTTTCTTCAAAGCCCTAGGTTTATGTCAAAGGGACAGTGCTACAAGCTCTTAGCACAGCTGCAATGGACTGAGTCCAGTGGGAGCATCTGAGGAGAAGAGGGATGTTTCTGCAGACAGGGAGGCCTCATCAGCGACTGTCAAGAAGAAATCAGCAGGGTAAACAGGGCCTTGCCTTCCCTTTGGGCAGGGAGGAGAAAGTAAGTCATCACTGAACCCTAAATGAAAAAAAAAGATAGCTGAAGATGACAGTGAGGTTGCCTTTGGCACGTGAAAGTCATGACAACACCTCTCACCACCTCACAACAGATAGTGAAGATTCCTCGTGGAAGTGGCCACTGGAGACTGGCATGGCCTAATCAAACACAGAAAAGCTGTTCCCTTCATCTGAGTGCAAGTGTTTCAAGTGTCCTGAGCCTGCCCTTAGCCACTCATCTCTTGGCATTCATCTGTAACAGGCTGACCATTAAATTAGTTTTCATCATGCGACTAACCAAGTCACACAGAGGGAGGACACTCCACAAAAATAACTCAGGAGAGCAGGACAGGGCCTCCCCTCCACAGCTGTATGGAAAGGAAATTAACTTTTGGATACTGAAAAGTAACATGTTTTGGTGAAACAACACTCCGGGAAAACAGTCTGTCTAATGTCTCATTAAAAAATGCCTCTCACACTCTAACCATGGTCTTACTGGCTGCATGAGGTTCGGCTGCCTCTCTTCGTATGCACTCCAGGGAGGACTGCAGATGAAAGCATGCAGTGTAATTTCTGTTGGGTCTGTTTGCCATGTCTGACATTATCTCCATAATATATAGATTCATTCTGCAGTGACAGGCTCTAGAGAGATAGCTTTAAAGTAATTGATGATGCAAGCTTTACAGGAGCCATCTGCTCTACAGCAAAACAGTGGGATTTTTTTGAAGTACACAGAGTGACACTCTCGGGTTACCCCGTTACAAGGAATAAATCACCCTTAATGCAGCATGACCCAGTGATTACCAAGCTGTCAGACTCTGCATGTGTCCAGAGAGCTTCAGGGAGTGCTACCTGGTCAGTGTGGCCAGGGCTCAGTGCAGGCTCTAACAGCACCACTTACTGCATTGGGCTTGACTTGGGCTTCCCTGAGCAGATTTGTAGTGAACAGGTTTCCTCTTCAGGTTGTCATCCTCAGGACAACATGATGCTCAGGCTAATTCCTGACATATCTGAGGGACACAGGGCCTCAGAAACAGGTTTATAGCACAACACCAGCATTAGATTGGGCACAACACTCTGGGACTTTGTCTAGCAAAGACCAAAAATAAGATTTAGGAATAATTATGAAGTGTCACCACAATTGGTGCCGTTCCTCAAAACAATTATACTGTTGTAAGCAATGTTTGTCTTCAGTCTGGCAGGCAACTGTTGAGCCAGTGAGGTACACACTTGGTCGCTGAGGCTATGTCAATGTTTGCAAATACTGTGGCAAAATTTATGTGGATCTGTAGGGTGAAACAGTTCGTGCATGGTCCCAAAATCCCACCTTATGTGGGTTTCTTTCAAACCAGCTCTAGTTTGGTCTCACAGATAAAAGCTCATTGGTGAACAAGGAAAGCAGTCCTGACCTGAACTAAACCGACACCATGATGTGCACTTTGGTTGCTTGCTATGACAGAACTCAGCTGTAAAACACTCATTAACCAGTTCAGAAGAAGACTGGCGAAGGAGAGGCTTTTCACAGCAACTGCAGCAGGTTGAGAAAGTCTCAGCTACCATATCCCTGTTACTACAAAGAACTCCTCCCAAAATAAGGCTGTACAGTTTACTTACTTTCTATGAAACGCTGCCATCATTTCCAACAGATGTAAGTGAGGGAAGGGAAGGGCAACGTCATATTCAACAGCACCTGACCCTCACCACCACCAATCTTCCCACTCCCCCACCTACCAGCCAGCTCATCTCCTCTTCTCCCAGTACCAGATTCAAAAGGCAACTCTTCATGCATCGCAACTTGAGCCAACTAGAAAAACAAAACAACCTATCCATTGCCAAGTTTAATCCCACACAGTCCCAGCTGGTTTCTCATGGTCTTCTGCATTCACCTTCTAGGAGGCATCTTCCTCTCTTCTTAGCAGTGTCAGGATTTCATGAGTGAGGAGAACCCAGTGACATTAACTCTGAATACTGAATTATCCTCTATAACAGAAGTGCTACAGAGTGGGTCTAGTAAAAAAAAGGCAATTTTTTTTTTTACTTGGCCAAAAATCAGAAGTTCTGAATCACTAGTTTTTATTCACCATACTGGTTTGCAGGATTTGCTGTAAGAGGAGTAGTGAATTCAACAGAGAAGGAAGAAACCCTCACATATTAAGTGTTGTTTTCAGATTAGTGGATAGAGCATCTGACTAAAAAGGTGTGTGTGGAGTGTTTTTTTGTTTCCCTTGAAGAACTACTTTCTGCTTGTAGGAAAGAGGCCAACTGGGAAAAGGAAAGAGAAGAACAGATTTTATATGAGCCCACAAATAAGCACTGCGATTTCTGTGAGCATCTCTTCATTTTTGGAGGAATATCTGGATTTTACTTGAAAATTAGAAAGATCAGGGAAAAAAATTTTGTGTTATTTTCAAGCTAAAGAAAAGTACTTCAACGTCACACTACCTTTCTTTCACTGAACCCAGTATTGAGCTTGAATAACAAATTGCAGGACTGTGTATGAGAAAGAAGTAGAGAGGGACAAGTGAACATGAGCTTAAAAGCGTATTATAAATTGCACTCTGAACATTTTAAAAATAAAATGGCGATTTAATTATAAGAGATTACTTATGTCCAGTTGTACTCCATCTGGGAAACTAATTTTTAAGGCAACTCCAAGTTGGTTTTTTTTAAAAAAAACTTTTCATGAGAAGATAGAATCAGGATTAAAAATAACCAAACGTTCCTAAAGTTTGGTACATGCACACATGTAAACATAGGAGTGTTATGTTAGCTAGTTTTTTTCCAATCAGAAAGAGAGAGAGAGAGAGAGAGATAGTGATGTGTCTCTCAAGATGAATCTTTCCATCAAAACTGGAGCATATTAGTAGAGGTGTCAAGAAAATAAAAACTGTTGTAGGGCAAAGAGAGCGGGAAAGAGGGCAGGGCTCCCACGCTGAATGTGAGTGGGTGAGGAGAGAAAAAGAGAAGGAAGAGCCTCCCGCAAAGATGAGTATGGGCAGGAGTATCAGATGCTGATTGGTGGGGATAGGAAATTGCAGGGCAATGGCGATCCTCTGAGAAGTGCAAAGGAAAAGGAGGAAGAAAATGCTCTCATTACTGCACCTATGCAAAAGAGCTAGAAAATCTCCCAGGGGGCACAAGGACTTGAGCAGTGGAAATGCATGTAACTGGGAAGGGGGAGAGGTGGAAGAAGATCAAGAGACACAAGTTTGGTTCTACTCAACATAGATGAATGCAGAAAAGTGGTCATCTTGCAACAGGTACAACCATTCCCTTTATTTCTGTGTATCAACCTTTCTTCCATCAGGATAACACCAATCATCTGCAGCTATCCAATATGTTTACACAGAGTCTTAGCCATATGTTCCCGTGGCCTATGTGCCAAAAAACAGAGCAACTTCCTATCAAAGTCCTGCTGA